GTGTCCCTCATCAGCATCTTGGCACCGCTGCTGTTACTAAAAATCTGAGTTAAACAGCTGTGGGCAATGACACAACAGCCTGACACCCATGGCGGTCCACATCTTGGGGACGGTGTGTTTGGGGCTTCACCACCTTGCATGTGCCCTCGCCGTGCCATGGGAAATAGATCTTCCGAAATTCATCTCACCCGTGAGAACGCCAGAGCTCCCAGGGGCTCAGTGACTTGCTGGGGGTCACAAAGCTGGGGGCACCTGGGCGCTAACTCAGACGTGCCTGACTTCAAAGCTCGAAACTGCTCTCCTCCACTACATTGAGCAACACGCCCCGTTCTCCAATCCCACCCCACTCGCTCAGGCTGGCAGAGAGCAGGGCTGTGCCCCATAGATGCCCCAGTGTAACACAAGTCAGCACTGACAACAAAAAGAAGAGAGCAAGGCAAGAAAATCCTCCGGACAACCCCTATCTACCACCTGCCAGGATGCGGAGAGCTGGTCCACCTGCATGTTTGCTTTGCCTAGGCTCGGCAATCCCCCACTTAAGACTTCTCAGTTTAAGGACCACTAAGGATTTACGATTCAGTAGCATGACCAGGAACAGCACTGCAGACAGCCCAGAGGCCCCTGCCTGCTGTTTCGCGGCCTCAGAAGGAGGGCTTTCCTTCACAACACAGAACCCTAAGATCATGTTGTGTTTAGGGGACATTACTGTGAGCAAACCATGCCTCCCTCTCACCTCCCCACACACACACAACTGTGGAGCACAGAATATGGCTACCACGTCACAACTGCTCTGCCCCGGCTTCACCTTCAGTGAATCTTTGCTAGAACTGCAGGGTTAAAGAGCTCACCGAGCCTTAACGCAGCATTCCCTCCTTTTTCTGGCTCTCTCCTCTGTTTTCCTTCCTACAGTTTACCTGAGTTTCAAAAAGATGCTTAAGTAAGTCTTGCCACAATTTCCCCACAAACCCCTGGCTGATCTCTTCATTTGCAACAGAACCTCGAGTGGGCACAGATGTGGTCAGTTCCCCTTACCTAACACTAGCCCTCTGCCTCTGGGAACCCCTCAGACCAGCTGGGGACACCATGTCCCCACCACCGCTGGCTTCCCAGGGCCGCTGGCCTTGAGGTTCACCTTCAAAGAGAACACTGGAACAAGACCAGCTTCCTAGTCCCTCCTCAATTCTGCCCTAGAAAGGGTCCCAACCCCTCAGCCAAATTCTAGATGAAACCCAACAGTCCTCCCTACCTGCTCAGCCAAGCCCCTACCGCCACGCTCTGACATTGATCAGCCCCGTGCAGGTCCTGTTGTTTCCTCCATGCGTCTCTCCCAGCCCGCACCTTACAGTCAGAAACCCAACCCCGCAGCCTCAGCTGAGATTTGCATCATTCTTTCCGAGATACCTGAACTCACCAAGTGTTACTTTCCCTTCACAGCTCTTAACAGAACTGTCCTTAAACAATCTGTGCGTGATTTGGTGCTGTTCTTAAATATCCTCCTCGCCTCCCCTGCCAGGAGGCCAGGGTCTCCATCGGTCTTGTCAACTGCAGCACATCCGACGCTAGTACGGTGCTGGCCCAGAAGAAGCTCTAAGTAAATGTTTGTTAAATGAAGGCATGAATCAGAAGCAAAGCTTCCCCTTTCAGCCTTAGAAATAGAATCTCGTCCACTGACCACGAGTAAAGGCAACCTAAGGCAGCTTGCCAAACGGTTTGATTTCTTTTCCTGATGGAGTACCGGAATCAATAATATCAGACAGGTAAGAGTGTTTGTTCCTTTTCGGCTGTGTTCCCTAGGTACTTAGGGTAAGGAAAAGTTCTGATGGGTAAGACCCACCCTTCCTGCACTGGAAAGGAAAAGGGGAGAAAGATGGTTTGCTTCATGAAGGAAAACCAAAAATAGGCCAAGATAAGACAAGGAAATTACACGAGGAAATGAAGTCTCATCAGGTCATCCCAGTACCACATGGCCCCGGGCGGCACTTAGAGACTTCTCATTTCACACGGCAGCTCTCCCAATACCACCGTGCCCGAAGGGAGAGGCAAAATGGGTTGGTGCCCACAGCTGCTTTCTCTAGACCTCAAGAAGGGTGACAAATCACTAACTCAAGACATCCAGGGACTTCTAAAAATGCCTGAAAAATCTAGATCTCACTCAACCAAACTTCCTGACCCATTTTCTCAAAACACTTGCACAGAGAACTCTGGAGGGAAGGGGCCGAAGAGGCATTAATAACAACATTAAGCCATATTACTAATCTACTATGCTCCCTCTTTTCAGAGCAAAGTTTTCCAGGCCTCGATCATTTCCAAAGAAAATCAGTAAAAATCTTTTCCACCTTACTTGCGACATTTTAACAAATTAAGGAATCACAGGAATGAAGGAATGAAGGAATGAAGGAATGAATAACAGCATCCATCTTGCCACAGCTCAGGAACAGGATTTCTCACAATACTTCTCTCAATTGCAAACCAAGTCTACTTTTAAACATCCCAGGAGTGGATTCCACGGTCTGCAAGGACAAGAGGCTGGCCATCACAAATAGCCACAGCAAGGCATAACAATGGCCCACTCCCAAACTTTTCTCTCCTTTCTGCGAGCCAACAGAAGAAGAGCAAAGCCACCCAATTCTGACTCAGGTCCAGCTTGGCTGTGCAGCTTCCATTGTTCAAGGCCACAGGAGGGCTGACAACTAGGCTTAGCGATTCTGCTATTTCCTATCTGAGCTTCTTTTGACTTCTGTATGCAGAAAGGTACCATTATCTCTGAGGGACTGCTGATCATGACACAGATCACATCTGTCATACGCTTCCTGAAAGGTCACTACTGCACCACCCAAGTTCTTGAAGCAGCCGAGGGAGCCCCAACTTACAAACAGGAACAAAGATTGCACCTGACCGTACATAACCACGACTTCCTCCTTGTAAAGTCTTCTAACTTTGAAAAGCATTGCATCATCCCGATGATCAATCTACTTCTACAGAGTTGTCTCCAAGACCTCTTTTTCCTTGGCATACTGGAGAAATGAAATGTCCAAAAATGTTACGAGTGGAAAATAAAAGTATGTAATGACAAAAGCATTCAGTGGCCAAATCTGTGGTGGAACAATGTGTTGTTTTGGGGTTTTTGGTTGTTTTTTTTTTTTTTTCACAGAACACACACACTCAAAACTACTCACTACTCATAAGGAAATCCTTCTTATTTTACTTTCTCAATGCAGTCCTCTAAAAGCCAGCTTGCGTCCAACTATAAAATCACTGCTATTCCTCGTTCTACAAAAGACTTCCTTTCCATCACATATTTCTCATGAATCTCAGAACACGATTTTATTTTTCAAATATTTTACAAGCTGAAAGACAAAAGTAATCACTTTTATTTACAAAAAAAAAAAAAAGTCAATCCAAAACTACTCCAGAAATCCAAAGAATAGAGTCCACAAAACGTTTTTGTCAGTCCATTCTTCCAAATTAAGCAGAACTTGCGTTGTTTTTCCTATTTCTTCCCTCCCCAGTCTGTACAGGTGATAATTAGCAAGGCTATAAAAAAATATATTTCAATGAACTTGTTGGTATCAGTCCTATATGAAAGGGGCAAACCACCATTGCAGACCACGGTTATTAGACATCATATTCTAGACTGATGTGACTGGTAAAGATTAAGAATCAGTAATTTTCTCATTTATTCACACAGACACACACACACACACCGCCCCCCATGGCTGCCAAGCCATGAATCAAGCAAAGACGCCTTCATCCTTAGGGTGTGTTTGAGTGGTGGGGTATATGAGCGACTTCTTTTCTATATTTTTTCAATCTTTTTCATAAACATATATAATTTTATACTTAAAAGTTTTAAACTTGAAACTACCAACTCTAAGAAATCTTCTCTAGACAGGCATCCCAATATTATTTCAACTTAAAGCAACTTGGGCAGCTAAAATCTCCAAAGTGATAGAGGGAGAAACAGCCCGGGAAGAAAACTAATGAACCTGTTAGTAAGAAATCCTCCAGTTAAAGAAGGTGAAGTCTAACAGGCCTCGTCCTGTTTTTTTCTGTATTTTCCTTGATTATCACACGCATTCTAAGGAAAATCTGTAGGAGGCAGGAAGGGCATGGGATATTGCTGCAGAGAATAAGATCTGTAATTTATCCTCTCAACAGGATGTCTGTGCACATTTCACAAGGGGATTTACCATCCCCTACACAGCACGTTAAAATTTGGCCATACGCATCCTCGCCATCCCCAAGGGACCCTAACCTGCGTGGAGAGAAATCACAGGAACCAAGATTTTGGGACTTCTTGGGTGCAGGCGCCATCCAAGATAGCGGGTTCAGTGGAGTAACAGAAACAGAGAGGAGTCAAAAACGGAAAAGTTACTTGCAGACTGCTTGGAAACAGTGCTAGGGTCACCTTTTAACCAGCGGGACAACCCCCCCGCGGCCCCTCCTTTGTCTGCCCAGGCGGAGGCTCGGTCGGCCCCGGGGCTCGCTCGGGCCACCCCGGTGGCGCCCGGGCAGCGAGGGGCGAGCCGGGCGCCGAGGGCTCGGCATCTGGCCGCGCGCAGCGCACCCAGTGGGCAGTGCATCCTCGCTCCAGGCAGGGTCTCTCCATTTTCAGGGCCAAGAAAACAATAAGCAGAGCGGAGCGGCCGCCGGGCTCCCCTCCCTCGCGGCGCCCCGCGCCGCCGCAGCACCCTCCGGGCCGGGGGCCACCTAGCCGGCCCCCGCCACGCCCCGGCCCTGCGCCCCCGGGCCCTCCCCGGGCACGGCGGGACGACCGGGGCTCGCCGCACGCCCACCGCCCTGCGCGCCGTCCGTCGCGCGCACGCCAGGACCCCCGCCCCACCGCCCGCCCGCGCGGACGGCCGCCGCGGGGAGGGGAAGCCGGGGGTCCCCGGGCCGGGGGGCGGGAGACCGGGCAGCAGCGCAGTCTCTCCGGCGGGCACGCGCCTCCCCCGGGCGCCCAGTCTTTGTGTGCAAAGTAAGTGCGGAAGGCGACCCACCTCGGCGCGCACACAAAGGCACGCGGCTCCCTCCCCGGCGCTCGCTCCGGGCGGCCGCGGCGGCTCTGGGCGGCCCGGGGACTGTGCGGAAGGCGGCTCCCACGGCGGAGGCGGCCGGACCAGCGAGCGGCAGCTCTTTCACACCCCGCGGCCCCGCGCGGCCGAATTAAGCGGTGGGGCGGGGCGGGGGGCGGGGCGGGGGGCGAGGCCACGCCCTCTCTCCGCCCAGGCCACGCCCCGCCGCTCGGGCCTCTGGCTGCCCGGCTCTGGACCCCAGCGGCCCGTGGGGACCGCGCCCCGCGAGAAGGGAGTTCGGGAAAGTCTGGGATTCAGTCCCGGGAGGTTTGCTTGCTGTTGCTGTAGTTTGGTTGGCTTGGGAAACTCTGGGAAGAGGAGAGGGAATATTGGAAGAGAAAATTAAGTGTCACCAGATGAGACAGACAGAAATGGGAAATCCAAGGGGGCAGGCGCACATTAGGGGATTTCACAATTAAAGATCTCTCTCTCTCTCTCTCCCCCACCCCCCCCCGTCCCTCTTTCACACACACACGCACACACACGCGACCACAAGTCCTGGGGAGTGTTTGGCTGCTGCGTGTCTGGTCCCATCTCCTCTCCCTTCCTGTGATGCTGAGAGAGACTATCCCCTTTGAAATCCTACCAATACGTCACCAAAGAAAACTCAACAGGATTCAGAGAGGAAAAGGAAACAGATTTGTTGTAAATGTGCAGATTTACTGTCAAGCAGGAGCTTGACACCCAGTGACCTGGGAATTTACTACTATTCCTCGCCCTCTCCTGCTCATCATCAAAGGGAAAAATGGAGATTTAAATTTGTGCACAAGGAGGAAAGGGTTTCTTTTCCCATTTTTTTCCTCTCTGATTTTCGTTGTTGGTTTTTTTTTTTTAAATTTCTCTTACAGCAAATTGCTCCTCTGCCCAACCCTGTGAATCACGGCATCTACAAAAATGGGAGAGAGCTGTTTCAGAGTAACAAGCAAGGAGAGCCAGTTGATGGGTTTTAGATCAAAAGCTTTTTAATTTTCTTGGCAACTGATGAATAAGGGTTTATTTATTGGGAAGCTTTTCTGACTAAAACAGGTTGAGTCACACGACCCCACAGAAAAGTCATATAAATTATGGATTTCAATAAGCAAATGACTGACTCCAAAGATGCTGTAAAGCCACAGCCGTGTAAGGGCCTGGCCATCCCCAGGCCTTGAAGCCCACGGGGGCCGGTGGAGGGGGAGGGGTGCAATCATGTGCCACAGGAGTGAGAGAAAGAAAAACTCCTTCCCAGCCCAAGAAACTGACCAGTGTGAACTTTATCCATGGTGTTTCCCGCGGGTCTTCCTTCTCTCCCGTCCTTGCATTGTGTTGTTTCTATTTTTGACAATGGATCTACTCATCACCAAACTCTAACTTGGGATCCAGCCTAGATTTTCCCCTCACTCCCCACTTGGGAGTCGGTTCCAAGTCCTGCGCATTCCACAGGATGTCCAAATAACTCCCCTCTCCACCCCACTGGCATTACCACAGTTGGCCTTTGGGGTCTGTTCCCGCACTGTGGCACTGGTCTCCCACAATCCCCAGCCTCTGATCTGACACCCTCTTTCAAACTCCTAACAAACTACTTCCCCAGTGCAAATCTGCTCAGCGTCTTCCTCTGCTTAAAATCCTTTAGTAGATGGTGGATGCCCAACTCCTACTACACAATCAAGTCCAAGCTCCTTAGTACCGGACACTATAGGGCAGCCTACTCCTTGATATCACCTTGACCATTTCCGTGAGCTCTTCCTACATCCCCCAGACACCCAGGGCTCCACTCAGCCGGAGGGCTGTATTTGTCAAATGACCCTGCTGGGTGAATAGGAACACAGGATGAAAGAATCTGTCACCTGTCATGCTCTTCCACATGGCTCCCCCCCCACACCACCCCCCAGCACACCTTCACCCCACACCACCCCACCTGTCAAGAGCTCCTCTCATCTCTGAGACCCAAGTTCCTCTGAGAAGCCCTCCTTGACCTGTTCAGACTGAATGGACCTTTTCTGCTCCTCTCATACCTAGCACGCTCTTGTAATTATTGCACTGCATTGTGAGTATGTGCCCTCCCTGAGCAGGGTTTGTGCTTGATATATATACGTATCTTTATATCATCATACTTAACATAGTGTCTGGCATATAAGAAGTGTTAGAGACTGAATTGTATGTCCCCCACACACAGTAAAATTCATCTGTTGAAACTCTAACCCCCAATGTGACTGTTTATGGAAATAGGGCCTTTAGGGAAGTAATTAAGGTTAAATGAGGTCGTCATGTTGGGACCTGTTCCAGTAAGACTGGTGAATTTATATAAGTAGATGAAGAGACACCAGAGATCTCTCTCTCTCTGTGCACACACAGAGATGCGGCCACATGAGGACACAGCTAGAAAGCTGCAAGCCAGAAGAGGTCTCACCAGAAACCAGCCCTGCTGACACCTAGATCTTGGACTTCCGGCCTCCAGAACCAGAACTGTGAGAAAATAAACATCTGTTGTTTAAGCCACTGTTATGGCAGCCCAAGCAAGCTAGTACAAGAAGCATGCATTAGATTCTAGATACTAAACTTGGAAAAGCACAAACCCACCATGAGCCTGTGATGTCCCCCCCAATGCAGCCTGGACAAACTTCTGTGATGCCAGGACCGTGGGCAGAGTGTCTGGATGTGACAGCTGACCGCACAGCCTCTTCCCTGCCCTCTGAGAGAAATGGAGACGTGCAGTTCATTCCATAGTCTGGGGTATAAATGCCCACAGGCTCTCAACCATGGCCCTATCCTTGTATCAGGAACTGTAATTTCTCCCAAGCCAAAAACAATAAGAGCAGATCAAATATTTTCTTTGAACTTCTTGGGTCAGAGCTTTATTAAAAAACAGGACGCCAACACCCATTCATTAAGTCCACTGTTTGGGGCTGACTATTTCAAATTCCTAGGGAGGCTCAGGGGGACTTTGGTCCAGGTAGGACTGATTCATTCATTCATTTCAAATATGGAGGAGAGCTCTACAGACATCCTGGACTGCCAGAAAAACAAACAAGTGGACCCTAGAACAAATTAAGCCTGAACTGTTGCTGGAGGCAAAAATGATAAACTGAGGCAGTCCTACTTTAGGCACATAAGAGACGGCAGGATTCTTTGGAAAAGGCAGTAACGCTGGGAAAAGTAGAAGGCAGAAGGAAAGATGAAAACCAAACATGAGATGGCTTGACTCCATGAAGGGCATGAGTCTACAGATGCTGAGTAGGGCTTTGGGGACAGGACATTGTAGACATCACTCCTTCACAGGGTCACAAGGAGTTAGAGCTGACTTGATGACACATCACAACAGTGCTCAAGTATCCAAATTGCTTTGGGGCCCCTGGAGTCACTGTGGGTAGACCCCAGAGTAGGAACTTTAAGGTTATGGACTAGAGTGATATTTACATTCATATCCACACCATCTACCAACAGTGCCTGGAACAACCAGACTTTCCAGGATTATGGCAGGTGACACCAAACTGTCAGCCTGACTCTAGTGTCCTGTAGATTCCATATTCTAGCTATGGACAGGACTCTAGGAAAGGGCAGGTGAGCCAGCAGCCCAGGCACCTGCTGTGTTCCACGTGAGTTTCTGCTCCTGGGCTGACATGGTTTATCAGTGCTTGGAGGGTCTTTGCTGCCTTGCTTTCTCCAAATACAACACAAAGAAAGCACTCCTCTGAATGCTTTTGAGTCCCTTAACCCATCACTGGAGATAGATTCCCTAATCTCACATTACTAGAAAACATACATAACAATTTTCCATCTTATAACACTCACCCACAAGATCACGCATATACTCAGCTTTAATTTCATCCTTTAACTTTGACTTCTGGAGGCCTTTTAAATTCATTCCTAAGGAAAACTGAAGAAAGCAGAGATGAACATTTTGGGATGTAAAGTGGAGCAAAGCAAATCAATTTGGAATGAGATATGTTGTTATTTATCTTCTACTTCGGTCATCTTCCCGATGCATGATCTTCAGATTGTTATTTTATGCCCTAACCATCATCCCGAAGGGGTCCAAAAAGACGAGAAAAGCTTAACAGTGCCCTACAGGAGGGAAACTTATTTTTATGTGTATTTGTCTTTTGTATCTTAAATTTTGCACTGTGTACATGGCCATTGGAATGGGTAATAATCCATTTGAAAATAAATACAATTTTAATTTTAAAATCATATATTTAAAGTCTCATTCTTCATTATGTATCAGTTATCTATTATTGCATAACAAATCACCTTACAACGTAGACGTTTAAAGTAAGACGAATGATTTGCTCCCAGTGCTGTGGGTTGGGAATCTGGACAAGGCTCAGCCAGGATACCTCATTTCTGTTCCATCTCGTCTTAGCTAGACTGTGTCGTGGGCTTGAAGTCAGTTGGGAGGTGGACCAGGGACTGACTCGTCTTGGGTTGCCTCAAAGTCCGGGTGTTGACTGGAGCTGTCTGCTTGGGTCCTTCAGATGCCCTTCACACAGCCTCTCAGCAGGCTAGCTGGGACTTCTTCACAGGGCATCTGGGTCCAAGTGGGTGAAAGAGGAAGCTGTAAGGCCTCACGGGGTCTGGCCTCAAGGTCATTCTGCTGCATTCTATCATTCGAAAATATCACAGAACCAGCCCAAATCCAAGGTTTGGGGAAAACAAACTCCACCTCTTGATGGTAGAAGCGGTGGTCACATTATCAAAGGACCTGAGTGCTAGGATGCTAGGATAGGAGGAAGTGTTGTGGCCATCTTGGCAAAAAAGTCTTCCCCTGAGTGAGAGATGAGAAACTACATAGTGGAGGGTAACTGTGACAGGTGACAACTGTAGTCTCACGGGAAGTCATTCTGATCATAAACAAGCCCAAAGCCCTTTGCAATTGAACATAAACCCCTCAACAAGAGATTCAATAAATTGGTGCCAGCCTCATGTCCTGAATTGATAGATCAAAGTAAATGCTTGATTTCTGCTTGTTTGTTTTTGGTTTCGTATAAGAATGAGAGAGGGGACCAAAAAAAAAAAGCTTTAACACTCTAAAGACCCTAAGGTTGACCAGGTTCTAAATCAGTGTATTAGTTATCTTCTGTTGCTTAACCGATTACCAC